TTTCCTTTGCTGTGCAGAAGCTTTTTATCTTCATAAGGTCCCAGTAATTCACTTTTGCTTTTAATTCCCTTGCCTTTGGGATGTGTCGAGTAAGAGATTGCTACGGCTGAGGTCAGAGAGGTCTTTTCCTGCTTTCTCCTCTAAGGTTTTGATGGTTTCCTAGACATTGACTTTCAAATGTCCTTTTCTCATAGGTTGTGAAGGGCTTAAAAGGTTTTTTTTTTTTTAAGTTGAATAATTACAAACATAAATAAAATGCTGTAAGATCTGGCAACCTTGGGCCTTTATTCCCACAGGGCGATAGCCGTCTGGAGCTGAGTGGGAACTAAATGTTTAGATGGCTCAGGAACTGTCCAGGCCATGGTTCCCACCATTTCCTGTTGTCCTCTGTGCAATAGCTTTATTTATTTACTTTACCTTCCTGGCACCCATAATCATTTGAATTTGTGCTCACTGTTACAGGAAACATGTAAAACCAAATACCATTAAAAACATACCTAAACCACTTGAGTTGCTGACATTCTAATCATGGTGCCACCTTTCTCCCAGATTCCCAGGCTTGAAACTTAAACCATTCATAATACAAATCATTTGTGACTTTCACAAGCAATTCTTCACTTCCTGTCTCGTAAACCATTAATAGAGTAATATCAGACATACGATGTCATACAGGATGCGTCATTTTAGAGTCCTGTCAGTTCCTCCTCATTTGTGTCTACTCTAGTCCTTCCTTTTCCATTTTTATTGGTGATACATCATTTTAGGCTCTCCTCACCTTATCCTTGAGCGACAATAATAGCCTTGTTTTTATTGTTGATGCATTTTCTGATTACAAATGTGGGCAAAGTGCTAATAAAACCCTTTAACAAGACATATATATATATGAATCTAGATATGAGATTCTGACTTTTGGTTTACTCTCTGCTCCCCCAGACATCTGATGGGGAAAGGATTTCAATTATATTATTAAGCAATCCTGAGTGTGGTAAAAATAATCTCTGATCGGGGATGCCGCATTTAGGCTGTGGGGAACTATAAATACCTGATGGGCTTCTCAGGATGCAGTGACTATCACAACTACGTGCCCTCAGCAGGAGCCCTGGAAGCTGTATCTATGGTGTTGTTATAAAAGATATTGGCTCCTATAAAGAGAGGGTAGCTCTGCGCCTGCCTGACATGTCTGTCTCCTCACACCGAAGCGGTTCTGCTAGGCTGGGCAGTTATGAGCGTGCCTGCAGGAGAGGAAGGCTCACACTGCCCTGCCTTTTGGAGTGGTTGGTGATGGCAGGAGGGTGGCCGGGGCGTCTAGTAAGCTGGGCTACTTAGCGAAGCCCAAGTGATTGCTGTGCAATAATAACCAACAGCGTAGATGTTTCTTTTAGTTTAACAATATTTACACATATTTATGTTTGCATATTGTGTGAATAACTTCTTAAACTACTTTTGGTATTTAATATCATCTAACGAGAAGATTTTGATTTGACATGTTATCACTTTCCACTACCTCCAGGAGAAAATCCAAATTCTTTAGTTTGCCATTCAGAACCTCAACAATCAGGGTCCACATTATCTTTTTAACTGGCTCTTCTGCTCTTTCTACCTATCTACGGTCTACCTTTCCCTCTAGACAAGCACAAATGTTACCTGGTATTAAGACTTCTGGCACCAATCCTAGAGTAAAACAATCTTTCCATCTTTAAGATGTACTGTCTGTGCCACGGGCATTTTCATGCTTCTTAATGTTTTAGAACTTTTTTCCTGTATGTATATATCTATCCATTTGTATCTACAGCATCATCTCTACGTTTTACCTCCATTTCCGTGCAACTGAAATGTTCTGGAAGCCAAATATGCAGATATTTTACATTCCTACAAGGAACCCAACACGGGGCCCTGTTTAAGTTTGATGTTGAATATGACAGGACTTTTTGAAGTTTAGGACAATAGATGGGTAATTTAAATTTACATAGAGTGTAAATGGATTAAAACAATAATTTTTCAAGCTTACCTGCTCTCCACTGAGTGTCTGGAGAATCCTGATGTCTCCATCTTTCATCCTGTAGATGACAACCTGGCCCGTGTGATTGTACCGTGGCTGTCCGGCAATGTAGAGCACATCTCCCGAAACCGTGGCGGAGTTCACTGTGTAACCTAACAAAAGAGAGATGCCAGATATACTATCTGACTCCTTAATGTCTACACAGAATAAATTAAGATCCACTTTAAAGGGCTGGGAGGATCATTTGTGTATTTTTACAGACTTCTCTTTTTTTTTTTTTTTAAATGTTTATTTTTTTTAAGGCAGGTAAGTTTGTCTTGGTGGAAGCTTTTAGCATGCTCTCTGATTATCTACAGCAATTGCTTTGTCCACCCCCCACCTCAGGTTTTCATTGTTTAAAGGCACAAATGATATAACAATCGTGACAGAAGAAGAAAATAAAAAAAAAACCTTCATAAACTCAATTCACCACTTTGTAATAAATCAATTGTGCTTCATCTGGACAGATATGTCTGTGCTACAGAAATTAAACATTTTATATAGGGGAATCATAGCAAATGTAAGCCTTTTCTGCATTATTGCTGTAGATTTTTAAGCAGTAATGTGAAGTAACTGAAGTTTATCACTCCTAGTTAAGGCATAAAGGCATTGCGTTTCTACTGCAGGACCATTCCCCAATAGAGTAGTAGAATTTTTAGGTGGTTTTTAATTTTCTGATATTATACTTAAGCCTGCAAAGACATCCTTGAACACTTAACATTTTTACTTCTTTTGGATTTTCTTTGATGATAAATTTCAAGGAATAGATTACTGGATCAAATTTTCAGTTCTTTCAGTGTCTGGCAAATTGTTTCCAGAACATTTGTACTAATTTATTCCATGCACAGCCAAAGGACAGACTAGTTTCATCAAACTCTCCCAAACATTGGGTATCATTACTATTATTCAAATTTGTGGATGTTCTAATAGATATTAAGCATAATCTAACAATAATACTTCACTGTGATTTTAATTTGTATTTGTTTGATTACAAAGAGGTGTAGGGTGGGTGGGTTACACAGGTGATGGGGATTAAGGACAGCAGTTGTTGTGATGAGGACCAGGTGCTGTAGGGAAGTGTGGAATCACTATATTGTACACCTGAAACTAAAATTACACTGTTAGCTAACTGGAATTTAAATTTAAAAAGTGAGCTTCGACATTCCTCTTTTTTAATTGGGTTTTCTTGCCCATTACATTTTTTTGTGTCTTGAAGGCAGACTATTGTTAATTTTTGAGTGAAGAATTAGATTTATTCCTTGTGCTTGTAGGGAACAGTGCTAAATCAGTGAATAACAATTCTCCTGTGCTGATTTCAACTTTACAGAAGGAAGAAGTGTTCTTATAACCAGATCTGTCCATCAGTGGATCAGAGGGCAGATTACTTTTCCAAAGGCCACAGAACCTCATTTCTTACTAAGAAAAAAGATTACATTGACAATTTATTTTCCAAGTGTTTTCCTGCAAGGCAATAGTTTCACTTTCTTACAGAACTTTTGAGGAGGAACAGAGGTTTTTGTACTAAAATATGTTTAATCTTACAAGTGCAAAAGGAACACAATTCCTCAGGCATATTTTCCTTCAGGCATATTTTCTCCCATTCTCATTTCTTCATCTTTCTTTTAGCTTCTAAAAAAATTATACATAATAAATTGTAGACTGTTCTTTTTCAAACAATTAATGTGTCATAATTCTTCTGTTACTAACCACAATATTGCTTAAAAAATAAAAACTTTAAGGTCATGTTTATATATAAATAAAATAAAAAAGAAGAATGTGCAAAGCAAAGGCTGTTTTATTTCATGTCATTCTACTAAGAAATATTAAGCAAGCATTGGCCTAAGGGAGTTAGTACACTTTGTTTTTGGTTTTGTTTTTGTTTTTGTTTTTTTACCTTACAGAGCTATGAATGCAAACTGATATAAGAACCTTTAAAAAAATTAAAAATTATGTTTGAGGTTTGGAGTTGTGTGATAATTTAGTTAGTTTTGATAACTTGATAACTAAAACTATTAGCTGAAATCTTCCCAGAGACAGTACCTACTGGTCAGGTAGTTACTGGGTGGAAGCTTAGGAATCCAAAGACAATAAAGAGGGAGAAAAAAAAGGAGGCCATGTAAATAAAGTCTAGTTTTCATGAAAGGAAAATAATTATACACATCTAAGTTTAATGTTGTCTTCTGAAAGAAAAAAAGAATTGAAGAGAAAGGAAAATGCATGGCATAGCCTGCTGCATGGATTTATAAAGAATAAGTCCTGTCAGCTTTCACAATTCACTTCCTGGGAAAAGTGCTAGGATCTAGTGAGGTAATGGGAAACAGGTAAGCTCTGCTTTGATGTCATGTGTTTGTTTGCCTCACATCTTTACATTTTTTTTGAATTTGTCTGGCATGATTAGAAGTGGGAAGACTGTAGGTGGAGGAGGCAGGGAACTTCGACTGTATTCTCACCATCAAAAACACTTGCTAAGTGCATACTGGCCTAAAGCAGTTCCTGGATGACTGACTATATCCTGAGAGGTTCGACAACTTCTGTTCCTACTTCTTTCTGGTCATTATTGATTAGTATGAGATTGTTTTGTTTTCTCCATAAGATTTTCCATTGCCTAATGACTTACAATCCACATAGATTTCAGACTAACACATTCAAGCTCTTTTTATTTTTCTTAAAAAAAAATGTTTACTTATTTAGTTTTGGAGAGGGAGAGAGAGAGTGTGTGAGCGGGTGAGGGGCAGAGAAAGAGGGTGAGAGAATCCCAAGCAGACTATGGGTGTGCTGTCTGCAAAGAGCCTGACTTGGGGCTTGATCTAACAAATCCTGAGATCATGAACTGAGATGAAATCAAGAGTCTGACTCTTAAGTTACTGAGCCACCCAGGCACCTTCAAACACTTCCTAATTCGTAATCCACACAGGCAGACATTTTGAAATTCTCATTTCAGATTTAGATTAATATTTGGGGTACAAAGCTATTTTTCTCCCCTATCCCCTTTCTGGGTGCTTTTCTATTTTAAAATAAATTTTATATATCTTAAATGTTATGTTGGCAAAATATCTTATGTGCTAACTTGTGATTAATCTAATGAAATGAATTCTAAAATATAAAAACATCATCTTAGTACATTGTAGACAAAGTACCCCCAAATTTCCTTTTTTGGGAAGAAAGGAATCATATGTTATAAATACTGTGGTCAGGAATGAAGGTTGTCTTAATTTTGTCTTGCTCCAGTGATATCTTTAAGTCTTGAATTCTCCAAGTCTGCTTTAAGCACCATGAATCCAAGCTTTTGGGGGATAATGGATTTAGGGTTCCTAAGACTACTTGGTTTTAAGGAATTTCATCACATAACAAGAAGTCAGAATATAAAAAAATACTACAGTATTATTAAAATGTGTGAACTTAAGATTTGTGGACATCATGCTGTATCTTTAGTTTTTTAAATGTTGTTAATTTTGAAATGAACACTGGAATAAGAATCAAGATACCTAGATTCTAGTTTCAGGTATGTCATAGGTAGCTGTGACATCATTTTTCAATTCCTTAATATCTTAATTTGGAAAATTGGATATTAACCATATGCTAAGATTTCTTCTAATGCATATGAATTTTAGGCCCACCCTCTTTGTGTTACAGCACAATCCTCCAAATATTTAAAAGATATGCAGTGTATATTTTGTTTCCTAACCATCAATTTCTTCAAATTTTGCAGACATTGGGGAAGGAAAGAAAGGAATTTTTTCTAGATCAGTATCCTTTAGATAATCTTTTATTGGCACATCCTAGTTTAGCATTTTCTTTTGTAATGTGTGATGTTTAGAACAATGGAATGCTCTAGCTGCTCTCTGACCAGGACAGAATGTAATAGGAATTTTATGAGAAATAAACTAGACTTTCATGAATGCAGTTCAGCATGTGTTAAGGGGTTTAACACTCACATTGTATGTACTGCTTACCACTGTAGTTTTAATTATCTAAATCCCTCAGGCCTTTCATTTTTAAGTCCTACCTGCCTCTACAGTTTTAAGATGTGTCTTTGAATAAGGAAATGTATGGACCTACCAGTAAAGACCTCCTACCTTCCTCATAAAATAGAAAGAATCTGGATAGAGAGAAAAAGACTTGCCTCCAGGACAGAAAGATCCCAGAGAGGGATGCTAACATACTAAAATATGAACACTGAAAAGTATTTGTTTCCTTAACCGCTGCACCTGCAGCACCAAGAAAATACCTGGGGCAAAACAGGTGTCCCTCAAACATTTGTTGAGTGAGTAAAGTGTTGGGAAACCGTCTTCTGAGGGTTCTTTTCATCCTAGGCCCTAATTGTTTACTAAGATCATTTAGTGATAGAATACTTCCCTGGTATCCCCTAGGCAGCTCAGTACAGATGGAGAATAAGGTGATAACAGACACATACCTCCTCATTCCAGAAAAGTCTTTGAAAAATAAGATGACATTACATCACTGGGCTTAAGTTCAATATTTGTCTGGTTGTGAATAGAACTATTAAAGAAGAAGCTATATGACAAGACAAATTAAAATTTTATTTTCCAAAATTAGGACTCATAGAAAGAAATGATATAGGATGTTTTAGAAAATATGGGAGTCTGATCTGCAGGATATTAGCTGTGTCAAGGTTTCTCTTTTTACCATCATTTCCTGTCCACCAGGTGCAAAGCTCTTCTTGAAGTTAATGAGAATACCAGACACAGGGAGACTTCAAAAAGTGCACATATCAGCCTAAATCATTCCTGCACTAGGGAGCCCTTCTGAGAAAGTGTGATCTCCATGTTCTAAGATTGCTCAGAAATTAAGGCTGCTTGGGAACTTTCAGGGCTCCTACAAAATGTCTAGCTCTTGGAAGTTATCAGTCTTCACATGGTTATAAGTAAACCTATGTAAATATAAGCAAATAATGCTAAAAATAAAAACAAAACCAAAAATAAACCACAATAATTTTCTATCAATTACATCTAAACTTTACCTAAATAAGAAGCAAGAGGTTCATTCTTTTTGGTAGACTCAACATTAAAGGTTGTGTTTTGAGGAATTATGATTCGATTAGCCTTCTGCATGACGACTGTTCCATTCCAATCATAGGCTCCTACTGCTCCAAGCATGACCCAGTCCTTATATCCAAATAGAGAAAACAAATGACATTTAACAAAGTAGCAAGAACACAGCATTAACAATATGATAGATTCTATTCAAAGTGCTTTACATATATTAACTTAGAATCCTCACAGTAATACTATGGTAACCTGGTAGAGTAACTTGCTCTCGGTTATACAGTACAATTGCCCACTGAAATGTCAATATTCCTTTGCAGGGACTCAGATGCATTTTTTTTTTCATCAGCTACAAATGATATATTTCCTAATCTTGTCTTTCTGTTTGATTCTGGGTGTCAAGAATCCTAGGTCTTGAATATGGTATTCTAATAAGATCTTTAAATACAATGAGATTGAGAAAAAGATACAATTCATATCATTAGCAACCATTTTAAATTAAGTATTTCATTTAGCCAGATGTATAATTACATAAGGCAGACCTCAAAATGTTTGATTCACAATTATTAGTACGATATAGTGAACTGTGGGATATAACATGTTTTCTTAATATGCTTGTGAAATGCCATTTTCCTACTTCGATTAGAAACATCATCACAGTCTGAATAACTGGGCAAGCCATGAACTGCTAGTTGCACTTATAATGGTGATGCCTGGGCATTGTTTTTGGGAGCAGAAACCTTAAAAAAAATATTTCATTTTCTACCAAGTGGTCAATATACCTGTGAATAATGAGCACTGAAGCCAGTCTGAGACATTTCCATTTCAAATGAAGCTGCTGACTGGTCAGCTGTAGCTATAACAGAAAAATAAATGACTTTTAGCACACTTGATTTGGAGAAGACAGAAACAAATTACAGACTGGGCTCTTTACCAACCAGAATTTCCAACATCTTTTGGGTATGTTCAGCCACACATTTCTCAACCCCAAATTCCTATGTAGGGCTGGGTAAAGGACAGAGAAGGTTAGCAGAAGGGCCGTGGCTAGATTCTTGACCATTGGCTTCCCCACCCTTGCTGGAGAAGTTGAGAAATGTCCATTCATGCTTCTCTTCCTATACTCTAGCATACTTGTGGATGATATGGCACTTTGGATCCATGTGGTTAAATTCAAAAGTACTGAAGTTGAAAACCTCCTTCTTCTTCTCACATTGTGGGAATCCTGTTCAGACATTAGCCTAAACTTACCCGATATGTTACAGGGCTAAAAAATCTTTATTCACATATTTAAAGAAGTCTCTTGACTCTACCAGGTCCACTTGCATTTCCAGGTACAGATCCTCTTGGAATTCCATTATGTGATAAAGACTGTAGGGATTCTGGGATTGTGTTTTCTCTAATTTCTGGTGGTAGGCATCACTCACAAATTCGAAGGGGACTTTTTGATGGGTTTTTGGCCACATACCATTCAATCACATATTTTTTAAAGAATCTGTGCCCTTTTTCTTTCTTTCTTTCTTTCTTTCTTTCTTTCTTTCTTTCTTTCTTTCTTTCTCTCTCTCTCTCTCTCTCTCTTTCTTTCTTTCTTTCTTTCTTTCTTTCTTTCTTTCTTTCTTTCTTTCTTTCTTTCTTTCTTTCTTTTTTGTTAATGCTATGTAAAAGTTTCAGGAGCAAGCATTAGGTATTTAAGCTCTTTACTGAAATACAGAGATAGTCCAGAGCATTCCATGGAAAAATATGCTACTCTCAAAATATTTACCGACCCAAAGCCACAGCCTCCTAAGGGGATCGAGGGAATGTTGATTCATTTGCTTTCAGTGGGGAGTTACTGATTTATTTGGCTTTGAAAATAAGTTAAAAATAGCGCATAATTTTAAGAAAGTCAGTCTGCCTTCTCATTGAGGCATAAGAATAATTAAATTTGTGAAATCAAACTTATTTACTAGTTATTTCCTGGCATAAATTTGTTAACAAATACATCAGTGATTGCTTTTTTATAGGACTAGGTTAAATGGGGATATCAATCAAGAATTCCAATACATCATTTTAATCTCACGTATGAATTATCCCCTAATTTAAATGACAGAGGTGCACTTTAACTTTATTTTAAATCTGATTTATTTATTTTAAATAAATATTTATTTATTTATTTTAAGTCCACAGTACTTTATGGTGCCTTCTTATTTATCTGTGCAAGACCATTGCAAGAGCACAGCAGTGAATACCTGCATGCTTCCAGTACCTTCTCCTGCTGCTGTTCTGCTTATAGCTGAGAATAGAGAGAAGGGAGTTTTGTGACAATCCTCCTGCTGAATCATCATCATGGTAATAGCCCCTTGAGCATCCCTGAACTTCTTGCTGTCAACTCCTCCCCGAACTGTTCATAAGTACTGACATAACCACTCTCCCACTGTGCAGGTTAGGCATTTTAGCATTTCTCCCACGTGCTGGGAAAGGAAGACATGGAACCTTTCTGAGTTCATTGGGCAAGTTGGTGACCTGTTCTCTTCACTAGGTGGCACTGTCATTGGCAAGGAGGAATTTCATAATTGCTGCTCTTTACCATCTCAAGATAAATGTTGATAGGAAATGGACACTTCCCAAGTAACAAGGAAATGAAATCCTTTCTGATCCCAGTTACGAAGAAAATCAGTCAAAACACTGTGTTTGATTAGCCCTGAAAGTGTATCAGTAAAGATGTGGTAGACATTTTAATCTGAGGACATTTTTTAAAAAATTCACTTTATGTATTTAGTTTTATTTATTTATTTATTTATTTATTTATTTATTTATTTTGAGAGAGAAAGAGAGACAGCACGAGCATGTGCATGTGAGTGGGGGATGGATAGAGGGAGAGAGAATCTTAAGCAGGCTCCACGCCTAGTGCAGAACCCAATGCAGGTTCAATCTCATGAATGTGAGATCATGACCTGAATTGAAATCAAGAGTCAGAGGCTTAACTGACTGACCCACACAGATGCCCCCCAGATAATTTTGCTTTTAAATATACAGACTTCTTAAAGTGTCTGGGCATTCCAACATGTAACCTTTAATTCATGGTATGGTTAGTTTAGAAGCAACACAAAAATGTCATTTAAGGTAAATTGGGCCCTTCTTCCCCAAGTAGCTGATGTAGGTAGACTTCATTTATAGAAGTCCTACCAGGTTATACTTACTTGCTTACTTAAGATGAGTTTAAAAATGAGACAGTATTGTACTTACTATGTAACTAAGTAATTTTTCATTTAAATGGTCTTTACAGATTGTTTACATCACATCTTAAAACTTATTACAATTATTAAAAATTAAAAGTGCACAAGGACTTGGAAAACTTTGTATATTTCCTTCCTTAAGGCCAGCGAAGCTTATGGTCTGGCCTATTAGTAAATGCCACTGGGAGCTGCTGTGAGACCAAAGCCACTTAAAACTGACTTGTGCACAGAATGCAGGACAGCCAAGTTCTTCAGAAGCAGCTGTGACTTCAGACAGATAAGTAATTCAAGAGTTCTGTTTCTAAAGGCACAGGGGAAAAGCAGCCAGGACAGAAAGGAAGAGAAATGAAGTCCGCATGGGCTGTAGCTGTTCATCAAATCTAACCCAAATCTCCTACTTACTAGTCGTGATCCAGTCATGAAGTCGGCTGGGTGAGTCACCACCAGCATTTTTTTAATTAAAAGAGAAGAGAAAATGAAAACGAGAACCTATCAGAGTGCTTTGCATATAATAAGGGTTATTCTGTTAAAGGTTTTATTTTTATTATGTATACATGTATGTGCACTGGGTCATGCAGAAGTGGAAAAATTTTCCCTTCTTCTCTTCTAGATTCCGTGGCTGGTTTAATAATTAAATTGAGCTAAAAAATTAGTCAATTTAATTTTTAGAGGAAAATTTAATTTCATATGGGAACCCCCAAACTATGAGACTGAAGGGCAAGTGGAGGTGGTGGAGACTTATATGATGCCATCCTGACCTACGGAATGGGGTAGGGGCCTGGGGCTTCAAAGGGAGGAGCATAGTTCACAGTATATAAGAAGAACAGATGTTTGGTAAGTAGAAGTTTGCCCTGCTATGCAGATAGGTCTTTAAAAAGTTCTCTCTGGTTATACCTTTTATTCTGGACCAGGCCACCTATGTGAATTCTTTTAGGTTGTTAAGGGAGAGGTAAAAGTTCTTCCTGAATGGGCTGGAACTTGATTGCCTTCAGCTCAAAATAATCTACATGCCAAAGCAACATATTTTGGGATGGCCTATTTTGCTCCCCTTTAGTCACAAGGAAAAGTGTATTTATTATCATGGGTCACTGTCATATAAATCTTGAAAGTCATTACTCTAAAACATTTTCCTTCCTTTCTATACATTTGAATATTCTGTCTGTTGGTCACTTTTCTGCATTTTCCTGGTCACTTGATGCTCAAAATGGTCCACCTTGTTTCAGTTATCTCTCTTTCTCATTTTATTTCTCTGTTTCCCAGTATCAGGTCATGTTTCTCATTATCAGGTCACATCAGGGTGACTGAGAAAGTGCTCATGAATTTCTATGTTTAAGATACAAAACAATAGTTCTTCAGTGTGTCCTCACAAGGACAGAGTCCATTGGATTCAGTAAGGGCATAAAAACAGAACTCTCTGGAGGTTTCTCATCCTAGGTTGAAGGAAAGACGCATGTTCTCTTAGTTTCCAGTTAACAGAGAATATGAAGGAGGAGGCTTTTTTGTTTGCCTGGCATAACAATTCCAAAAACTTTTTTTTTCCTTTTTTTTTGGTCAGGCAAGGGCCAGTTCCAAAAGAATTTGATACTTGACCTCTTCCACCTAAGGCAGGGGAAGGAATGCCATGATTTATTTTCTTCAGTAGCCAATCACCATTGCAACATCCAAGAAAAGAAATCCACAAAAAAGTAATATGACTTAGACAAATATAGTGAACCAATGTTTTACTGCCATGGGAGTTAAGGCAGAGTTCCATAAAGACCTTTAAAATGGGCAAGAAGCAAAACGGGAGAAAATAAATGAACAATGAAGTTATTGCAAATAAGGACAGTTCTATAGAAGCCCAAAATAAAAAAACAAATTAAAAAAGAAAACTTGAGCTAGCTCCTCCATTTTCTAAACCCGTGTCACAGAAAAGGGCTAAAACACGTGGACACATTTTTGTTCTTGTGAGTCTACACTGATCATTGCCTTCTTTCAGCCCTCACATAGCCCTGCCATGTCCTTACAAAGAGAGATGCCAACAGACACAGGGCTATGTGAGACAGCCATCTTGGTGACAGATTTACAGAAAGGGGCATTGTTCCATGCTGGTTATTGTACACAGTAAAAATGCATTAGCCGTGTAGAAGAAATAAACACCAAAAGGCCATTACATTAAATTGAATTGTAGAGAAAACATGCGGGAGTATGAGAAATAGTCATACCTTCCAGGGCGAATATTCTTTCTCCGAGAGCTTCAACAATAGTGACTAGAGCTAATTCATCAGAGACATTGAAGAAATGCTTTTCAGTGGGTTCGCTTGCAATTGATTTTATTTCTTCCACAAACTTTTCAGTGCTTAAATTTCCTCTGTTATAGCTCCCAAGAATCTAAGACATGACAAAAACGGCAAGGTTATATTTTAAATTCTGTATATTAATTAAGGATCTCAAGCATTTTGTCAACAAACAAGAGAGTGTATAGTACCTTAATATAATGAAATTTATGTACTTCCACATTCTTGGAAGAATAATTTTCAAATGTGAGATTTCCTAAAATTAACTGTTACATACTGTAATTGGTAGAGAAAACTACAAAGGACAATCTTATATGTTTCTTCTCTTGCATTACTGTGTGCTTGTTTATGAACAGCTATATCTTTAAAGTCTGACAGTTCAACAGTAATGTTACAGTTTCTGAATGTCTCTGGTATTATTCCAGCCTATGCCACCACCATTTGGTGGTAAAAGCAGTTAGCAAGTGAGTTACTTGATCTTGAGTAGGCAGTTCTTCCTGATACTCTTACCAAGAGCCAATCCCACACATATTTTGAAAACAGATATTGAACTAAATAGAAATCTTACTTGGCAATTTCTGTTTAAAACCAAATTCTCAAGACACGGACATCTTGTTTATATATATATATATATATATATATATATATATATATAT